CGCGGGACGGTGTGGGGCTGTGCTGGGTGGGGAGCCGGGGGAGCCGTCCACACCCAAGGGAGCCGAAAACCGTACACCCACTGCGCCCCGTCTGCCCTTCAGTATCCCCTCCGTGATCCCCCAAGGTAAGCGGCCTAGGGAAGCGACCTCTCCGCCGCAGCACCTCGGCGTTGCTTTCCCAGAGTGTATCCACCCACTCGCTCACCCGTGCATCCGCTCAGCCGCCCACCCATGCACTGTCCCTCCCTCTCCCTCCCTCTCCTGCTATCTTTCGAACAACTGTGTGGTAGGGGGTCTTGAGGCCAGTTTATGTATTGCAATAGTCCCTGACGAATTTTTTAAAAACGATGATCCACACAGAATTGCCACCTTTTTGTTTGCCAAGTAAGGATATTTTAAAACGTGTAAAATTGACGTCTCTAAGTTAATTCTTTTTAACAAACGTGTGTGAGCACCTGGCTTAGCAGGTGTGGAGACAGCATGGTGAACTCTGCCTGAACGGTGCTTCCGGTCTAGTGTGTGAGGGGAAAGAACTGGCGATAAAGAAAAGACAATGTCTAACATCTGACGGGGAGGGCAGGGTTCTTTATATAGATCTGGGAAGCGAGTCCTGCGTGAGAAGGAAGCAGTCTTGGGCATAGCCGAATGTTCCAGAAAGAGAGAAGCTGAGTATGCAGAGAGCTGGACAAGAAGGTCCTGCGAGCAGAGTGAGCGGGATGAGATGAGGCTGAGAGGTGGAGCAGTCGGATGGGGTAGGGTCTTCATGGGTGAAGAGTCTGCATTTTTATTTCAAGAGTAGTGGGAAAACACTGAAGTATTTAAAACCAGGAGAGTGACTTGCTCTGATTTATGTTTTAAAAGATTACTCTGGCTTCTGTGAGGGGGATGGACTTCAGAAGGCCAACGATGGAGGTGAGAGATAAATTAGGAAGCTATTGGAGCAATCAAGGTGAAGGGTGATGGTGGCCAAGTTGATGGTGAGAAGTGGACTGATCCAGGTTGTAGTTTGGAGGAAGAATTTACAGGATGAATTAAATGTGGGGGAGTGAAGGGAAGTGAGAAGCGGCTGAGTAGATGGACGAAATGTTTACTGAGATGGGATTTCTGCCGAGAGCCAGGTTCAGGGAAAATTGGAGAGTCCCATTTTGGACATATTAAATTTGAGATGGCTATGATTCATCCAAATGTAGATGTCCAGTTGTAATGTGATATATGAATGAGTCTCCTGTGTGTGTGTGTGTCTGTGCGTGCGCGTGTGTGTGTGTGGTGGGGGGCAGGGCTGGAAATACTTCATGGAGTGAAGGGGCTCACCTAAGGAGGGAGGGATCGAGACTTGAGAATGTGGCCTTGGGCAGAGCCCCAGAAAAATCTAATTTTTAGAGCTAAAATACTAGAGGATTAAGAAGTGAGGAAGGAGGAAACCCAGGAGGGTGGGGTCACCAGGCCTATCTGCCCAGACATCAACCCTTGTCTCACAGAAGCACGGCTCTGAGTTCATCAGTCTTTCTTCCCAGAATGGAGAGGATGGGGCCAAATCCTAAGACCCTCCATAGATGTGGGGACAACTAGCGCTGTAGAGGACCCCTGGAGAACAAGCAGACACAGGATGGTTTGTGAAGTGGCAGTGTCCTTCCTCTCCCAGATCTTCTCTGGGCCTCTGGAACCCCCTTCCCCCCACCTTCC